TATAAGACCAAAGAGTAAGGAAGAAGAATGAAGGAACTCCATAGAAGATTTCTTCTCAAAGAAACTCTTTCACGAGTGTACCTTTTAAGGTAATAGACCCAATATGCGAAAGCACATGGACGCCATAAAGTACAAGGAAACATACTTAGATGAGACAAACATTCTATAGTATCCTTGAGTGAAGGAATATCACTCAAGTGGATTTAAGAAATCGCTCTAGCAAACAGAAACTCATTGGCGATATTTGGCTTAAAGGACTTTCAGTTGCGCTTTCCTAAAGTAGGGACGTTCTACACCTTGAAAAGGAGGTAGTGGTTTCCCCTAGGTATACATTGCATCTCAAGACATTAATCAATCTCTTACAAGAAGAATACATATTGAAAAATAGGAATAAACTTATTCTCACAAAAAAGTACCTATTATGCTTGTCTAGTTCACTCTTACAAGTCAAGTGCCCATGAACTCCTGTTCTTATGTACTTTGTAAGCTTACAAACTTATTCCTTACAACATTTTATAATATGAAATATTAAGTTAAAAATTAAAAAAAATAGAAAATGACAAAAATCATAAAGACCATTATGAATATTTGTTGTGTATGTATACACGAGTCTTAATACAAATGTCAAATTTAAACACTTATATCATTTATTAAATATATTAATTTTATAAAATTTTATAAAAAATTAATAAATACTTCGTCACAATACTTTATTACTTTATTCTAATCAACGTTATATTTTAAAATATAAATAAATATCAAACTTTAGATAATATACTTATAAATATTTAAATTATGTAAAATTTAAAATACATATTAAAAATATATTTAGATGATTCAACAGCTAAGTTAATTAATCTTACATTTTATAAAAAATTATTAAATAATGTAAGTATTCAAATTTAATACTTTATGTCAATAAATGTTAATCCATTTTTTGACATTATATTTTAATAATAAACAAGAAAAATACAATTTTCAATATGCAATCTCTTTTAACTAAAAGAAAGAGGGATAAGGATTGCGTGCAAAGAAATGTTTATGTGAAAATTATTTTCTTTCTAAGAAAAGTATACAATAGATCCAGGCTCAAGCGGAAATGTAGCTTGAATGAAGCATTTGGGTTTGGATTCGCATGGTTGTAACTGGACTTCAGAGATGGAAATTTATTTAGGAAACTGGTTTCATATTTAGACATTGGACCACTGACAATTGGGTTTTATTGTAATATGTCGAATGATTCTTTCAACAGGAGTTTTGCCCCCTCGGTGTTTTACAGTTTTTTCATTATTATGATATTTCCATTTATTTTTTTTTAGTTTTTCCTTTTGTCAGTTAAAAACTAAAAATTGAAAGTCAACTGTTTCTCTTCGGAAAGAAAATTCAAAAAGTAAAAAAGGTGAATCGAAGACCATTATTGTCTCCAGTTTTCTGACTAGTGTTTATTCTTTTACCCTGTAAATATTTCCATTTGTTTTCATCAAAGCTGATCATATATATTTTTGTTACTAAATTACATCGTGAATAAATTTAATACCTGAATACCCTTACAAAAGAAAAAAACAAGGAAACATTTCCCAAAACAAACACACACATATAAACCGCAAGAATAGAAACAAAACGCAAGTGCTGGTTGTTACAAAAGTAGGGGAAAAAGGTCAAATTAGTGGAGGAAAGATAGTGATTTTGTGCAAAGAAACATATTATAGCCTGCAGGAATAGGATAAGATAATAAATAAGATCAGAGTAGAAGTATTCTTATCGATTGTGAGAACCTTAATTTGTTTTGGTCATGTAAGAACCTCAACTTGATTACACAAAATGCAATGGTAAGTGGGCCACTACAATTTGAAGGGGATGGCCCAATTCTATCAAACCCAGTGTACTCTTTTTCTCTTTTCATTTAATTTGGTTTCGCTTCTTTTCCACGGCTCGTTAAACCCATCAACAAGTGGCTGTTGTGACTCTTGCTTGGATAATTGGAGTAAAATATCTTAACTAGCTTTTACGATCATGCCAAAGGAGAAGAAAAGGGAAAAAGAAGTGTGATGCGAGTGAAATTAGGAAAGGGGATAAGAATTGGGGGAAAGAGAAAGAAAAGGTTGTAGAGGAGAGTTACATCCACTCGTCTTACATGCAAGAAGCCAAGTGGCTATCTTATTCAATTCCACCATAAGGTTTTAGGTGGCAATTGTCTAAACTCAAGAATATGACTCATTGCTTATAATGGTACTGCCAAGTTAGCTTTTGTGGCAGCAGTTGCTTGTGCATGAGAAATTGATAGAAAAATAAGTCCATTTGAATGTGTTCTTCCTTTGGTGTGAGTGGATGCTGACCCAAGGAAGAAAGCGTCCACTGAATGATCGATCATGCATTCGTTCATACTATATAACGAAGGCTGCCCAGTAAAGCATTTCTAGAAAGCTTAGACTATTGCCTTAAATTAATGGTTCTTTCCATTAAATAATATATTTGGTGTATGATTAAGAATTAGAAAACTTTTTCCATCTCTGTTCTTTGTCTCTAGAATTTACTAATCTATTCTTTTAGTGGCATTTACTACTACGCATTCAAATGTTTATATCACAATCAAAGTCACTCCAATTGGAAGCACGTTAGCTACAGCCTCCAAAAGATATAGTAAGTTTCAAAAGTTTTGGTTCTCTTTAGTTTATTCAGAACAAAAATAATGGAATTCTGAGATCTCCACTAACATCAGCCTTTTTGCTGCTTTACATGTCGATATTGTCTTTGGTGTCTGTTATGTATGTTGTGGCTTAACCAAGTATGTGTAACATCCAAATTGGCATTTGCTTCTTCTTTTCGATTCCACGATGGATTAAGAAAGTTTAGAAAAATTCTTTTGTGAAAATAGTTTATAATTTTTAAAAATTTATTTTAGCAATTTTTTAAAAATAAAATTTATTAAAATGTTGTTTAAATTTTATGATTAAAATTATGTTATAGTTTTTTGTCCAGTTATCATTTTATTTATTTTGTGCAGGAAGAGAAGAAATTATGTGGACTTTGTAATTTATGAAATTAAAAACATACAAAAAATAATACTGCAAGTATCCTTATTGAAAGTATTTATATTTGGACTCCATAGGGCCACCATAAAAAGTAAAGTTTGATTGTCTGATTATTTTATAAAATAAAAACATGCACAATTTAAATTAAAGAGACTAAAAGTATAATTAAATTATTTTATTAAAATAATAAGTATTAATTATAATTGTATAATAATTTCAAGGCAAATTGTAGGTGCAAAGAACAAAAGTTATCGAAATTTTGTCCATTGAACCCGAAGAGACGAGGTACCGAGGCGTACCTCCCCATTGTTAAGCACTGTTGATACAGCTGTTGTTGTTGACTTGCATTGTAGAGACCCGATATTCACCCAGAAACTTTGTACACGTGTCAGCGAAAACCATGTCTCTATATATCCTTTAGACACCCCAATACAAGTCTTCATGATTTGTTTGGTTGAAATAAGAAAGGAAAAAAATATAAATAATGATGTATTTTTATTTGTTTAGTTAAATGAAAATTGAAATTTTTTAATTTATTTTTTATTTTTGAACTCTTTTTATTCTACTAAATAAAGGGTTAAATATTATATTTTTATTTATTATTTTTCTTAAAAATAATTATCATTTTTTATTTTTTTTCAAAAAAATTTGTCTATAACTTTTCACTATCAACAAAATATTTATTGTTTTTTGGAGCTTTATTCTTTTTTTCTCCAAGGTAGTGTTTAATAATTATTCTGTTGTTAAGAAGAAAAAAAAAAGTATGGATAGCAATATATTCTGAAAAGAGAATAATTTAATCTTATTGTTGTGTTATTAGAATTTAATATTCTTTATTTGTGTATAACATTTTAAACGACATTTATTTCAAATGAAAGGAATGGTTATGTAAAGATAAGGAATACTAATCGTATGTGTTTCGCCATTTTGCTTGGGTTTCACGTTTCTACCCATTCCAAGATTCTGAATAGGCAAATGCTCCAGATTAACCATACAAGTAGTTGTTGGGTCAGAGATCAAATTGAAGCAAATGAAAGTTTCTGTTTTATGCATCTTTCTTTTTATAGTTAAAAAATTTAATTTTTTATTTTTAGTATATATATATATATATATATATCTTAATAAAAAATTAAAATTAAATTATTTATTATATATATATTTCAAAATATTTAATAATTTATAATTATTTTGATTCAACTTCAATATAAGACTTCAAAATATTTATATTATGCCAATGACTTTTTAGAAAGATTAGGATTACGGCACAGGATTTTTATTAGTGGTTAGTATTTAAACGATTATAAAATAAATTGAAAAATTAATCACTATTTAAATGATCAATACATATATATTTATAAAATTATTTTTTCACAGTAAAAACATGATAATAACAATAACACACGTTGCGTCATATCAGATGAATATTGATACCCACTCTAATTTTAGGATATAAAAAAAGTTCAGTTTATTCTATTTTCTTAACATGAATTTAATAACATTTTTTATAATAAATGTATAAAGTATTTAAGAATTAAGTAAAAATAATAATAATATAATTTAAAAATATAAATTTTATTGAAAATAGTAATATGTAATATTATTAATGCATTGAATTCAGTAATATTAAGTAATTTTAAATAAAAATTTGATTATATCTTTACACAGACATTAAAAAATTGATATATTAAAATTTAAAACATTTAATAAAAATTTATTATATAAAATTCTTGTCCAACTTTAAAAAAAAAATTCTTAAAAAAAGTCAAAAGTATGTAATAATAAGTTGACATGGTGGCATTAAAGTGGGAAACAATGAGCACCGCCTCTTTTCTGCTTTGGAAGCTGCACTGCCCATAAATGCTATTCTTTGTGATGCCAGTGTCCTACAACTTAACTCCATTCCCATTGTCACACAACTTAATGTCTCTCTCTTTCTTTCACTTGTCTCACTGAATTTAACCCTTTTGGGGGGTCTTCTGAGTCTACTGAGATCGATGAATACGCAGAACGCAGTGCATGCATTGAAACCAGCTCTGTTAATGGTGTTGGTGCAGATTGCAAATGCTTGGGTCAATGTTCTCTACAAACTCGCCGTAAACGATGGCATGAGCGTAAGCGTGATTGTTGCCTACCGATATGTTTTTGCCACTGCTTTCATTGCTCCCCTTGCTTTCTTCATTGAAAGGTTCTTCATTATTCAATATTTTTCCTTTTCATATGCCCATTCTCTATATCTATCTACACACACATGCTAGCCACTCCTAGTATCGTTATTTACTTATCTTAAATGGCTTTTCGCTCTTTCTAAAATGACCGAAAAATATATATGTAAGGTGAAATATTATTTATCGTTAATTTAAATTTAAGTATTTTATTAATATAACTAATTTTAAATTAATAGTAAATACATTTCTTATTTTTATTTTACATGTTTTGTCAATTTAAAGATGTTAAATCCATTTTCAATCACTGCAATCTATACGGGCAAATATCATTAAAGACCTGTAACTCTAGTGTTATAGTTGTCATAATTACTATTTTATAATAATAATAATAATAATAACAAAAATTACTTATGATTCAACATGTACAGTATTTTATTTAACATGTTCATATTTTATATACAGTTTTTTCTAATTTTAATAAATTTTTAAAATATTTTTTATGATTATTAATATAAAAAAATTATAAACTTTTAAAGGTATTTTTCAAATTTATCTTTTATAAATATTTTGAATTTTTTCAAATTTTTTTAACAATTAAAATGATAATAAAATTTTACTTTTAAATAGAGTAAATTTAGAATATTAATTTTTCAGAAATTAATATACGAACTATTTGTAGAATTTTTTTAATCAATATAGATAAAATTAAAGAGAGTATTTTTACTGATCATTCTTTTTATGATTATGCAGATTATGGGTAACATTTACATATAACAACACCAATAAAGCAAGCGATAACAACTTTTTCATTGTTACTTTCTTACGTAAAAAATGAGAATCCTTGGTGCACACGAAAAAGAAAAAGATATATAATTTTTTTCAGTCTCAAGATTTTTCGAGAATGATCATTGCTTTGTTTCTTACTTGCTGACTGAAATTTTGAAGTGTTCGATAGTGGGTACTGCTGTTTGAGCAGATTGGTTATTCGACCCACTTAATGAAGATGCAAACGTTGAAGTCCAGAATTCGTTTGAAGAATACGACTTTTCATTTTCATTACTATTTCAGATGAATTGAGAAGCAATAACAATAGTACACTGAAAAAGAAATTTTAATTTGTGTTGTTAATATTGTGTTAATTAATATATTGTATTAAATTATGAATATAAATTTTGTAGGCCAACACTAATAATTAATATAATGTATGATATTAATTATATATTTGATGTATCAATAGTACATACATCAATATTCTATATTAATAAATCTAATATTTTTATACAAAACATTGTATTGACGGGAAAAATATAAAATTAAATTATGACTTAAATAAGTAAATAGTTTATAAAAATATTTTTTTTTAAAATTAGTTTTTATATATTTTTTTAATGATTTTAGTCCTGTAAAAATATTATTTCAAAGTAATCTATGTCATTAACGGAGATTTGTTAAGTGATAGTTAAATAAACTATTTAAAATACTCGCTTTAGATTTAATTTTTAAATAAATAATTATTTTTAAAAATATATATCTTTTTGAATTATTATTTAATAATTTTTTTATTCTTGTAAATTTTAAATAATTTAACTTTTTATTGTTAACAGTTATTACATGACTAAAATAAAAATAAAAATTTAATAGAAAATTTTAAAAATTAAATTCTTATGAACTAATTACTTATTTAAACTTTGTTATACAAAATTAACAATAAATGCATGAAATATTATGAGATATTATTTATTTAATCATCACTTAAAAATTCTTAGTTAATCAGTAATAACTATTTTAAAATAAAAAATTACAAGACTAAAATGGATAAAAAATTTATTAATGAATGATAATTTATTTTGTAGTAGTTGGAATGAGGTCACTTAAAGGAAAAAGTATTGGAAGTGCGAAAGATGAGGGGAAAAAGACAAGGTTGAAGATAAATAATAATGATAAGTGATATGGTGTTTGTTGATAATGAATGATTTGCAGGAAGACGAGGACAAAGATGACTTGGACGATATTGTTTCAGGCATTTCTTTGCGGCTTAATTGGGTGAGTAATCATTTCTTTTTCCTTTGCAGCCAAACAAATTCTAGTTTATGAAAATCCATGGTGCAGTCCACGTGGACTGCTAACCTTGCCTAACTCTCTTTCAAGACCCTCAATCAATTGTTCTTCATTTTTACATTAAAGTTTTAGATAAAGAAGAGGTTAATTATTCTCCTTTTAAAAGTCAAATATAATACAAATTGAATTATCATTTAGAACAAAATTTGAATGATCTGTATACTGCCATATGATTTGCCAACTTTAAACTGAATGCATGCATGGTAAATATAGTTTGGCATAGTTGATTAACAGTGTGAATGACAGATGTTTTATTAATAGAGACTGTATCTATTTTGATAATCTTGAGTTGCCTTGGTGCATACTAAAAGAATGTATGCATATTTACAGTCATTAAGACAAAATTAAGCCTAATTTAGTTAAAATTAAATCATTAAGACACTATTGCATGCGTTATGAAATAATGATCATCATTAAATTCAATTCACAAGAAATTATTCATATTTAATTTCTTGTTTAATCAAAATCAGTTCTATAAAATGATTTTCGTTTTGTTATAAAGGAAGTTAGATGAGGGAATAATTAAGAGAACGAAAATTTGCAGAGGATAATTTGCTTTCTATTCTATTCTATTTTTTTTTCTGTTCTTTCTGATGATTTAATATGCAGTGGAGCATTGCCTCAAAACTTAAACATGGAAGCGCTTGCTTTAACTTCTGTAACGTTTACAACTGCAATAACCAACCTCATTCCAGCCATCACCTTTATCATATCCCTCTCCATCGGGTAAGAAGTATTAAATGTAAAATTATAATTTGTAATTATTCAATTTCTTATAAGAGTTTACTGTTAACAACATACTATCTTTTTCTTACCTACACGATTATTAAAGAAAACAAGTTGAAATGTATATTTCACCATTTAATCTAACACTTTTTCTCCTACTTATGTTAATTATATTCTCAATGATTTTTCTTCATTTTTTGGCTTTAAAACATGTTCAGATTGGAAAGACTAAATTTGAGAACAGCAGGAGGGAAGGCAAAGATAATTGGAACGATAACTGGAATTAGTGGGGCAATGGTACTGACATTCGTTAAAGGCCCCGAAATTGAGATGCTATCTTTCCACGTAAACCTTTTCAACAACCGAAGCAGAAAAAGCCATGTGGTTCACTCACACTCTGCCTCCGGTTTTGTTACCATGTTGGGTGCTCTCGCCTCTGTCGCAAGCAACATCTCTTATGCTCTCTGGCTTATCATTCAGGTCAGTTCAATTTCTTTTTGCAATCAACTACTGTCGTTTCTGTCAAGCTTGTCGTTTAGACATTATGTGCTTGGACATGACTTCCATCAAATTTCTTGTAACCTTGATCCCACGTTTTGAAATTTTTTGAATAACTATTTTTATCATTATTTAATTGGAGAACTTGATGGTAACGTATAAATAATATTATCTTAAAATTTCCTATGTTGTATGGTTTTCATTAATGAATTGTTGTCGCACAGGCAAAGATGAGTGAAAGATACCCATGTCCTTATTCGAGCACTGCGTTGATGTCCCTAATGGGGGCACTGTTATCCATTTCGTTTGCTTTTTGCCTTGATAGGGATTTGAGTCAGTGGAGGTTGGGTTGGAATGTTAGGCTACTAACTGTAGCTTATGCGGTATGCTACAGCATTCTTTGCATTGACTTTTTTTATATATATTTATTTATTTGTCTTTGACATCGATATATAATAACAAAATTTTTTAATTGGGAATATGGGAAAAAAGAACCCACAGATCAATTCGTCTGCAGTGTTTCTTCGCATTGGCTTTAATTTATCATTAAATATTGACTAGAATTGAGGCTATATACTAATTAAGATGAATTATTGATTTAGGGTATAGTGGTTTCTGGAGTGATGGTGGCAGTGATTTCGTGGTGCGTACGCACGAGAGGCCCATTGTTTGTCTCTGTTTTTAGCCCTCTAATGCTTGTGGTTGTGGCCTTCGCTGGATCCACGATTTTGGATGAGAAGCTATACCTTGGAAGGTATATCTGATTTTAATTATTGCTGTTGTTGTTTCCTCAAGAGTTATCACCTCCCAATAATTAATGCATAGAGCTCAATTATTCACTATACAAAATGATATTTATAATACGTCACAATGTCAACCCTGGTTACAGATGGTTAACAACGCACCTATATTTTCCTCTTTATACACTCATTTTGTTTGCATTTGTATATATACCATCAATTGGTTGATGCATTGGGGAAAACTTATATATCACATACATGAAAATCCCGTTAAGGCTTTTCCCTTCAAGTTAATTATTTGAAGGGTAGTATCAAGTGGATTTATTATTATTAATATTAAAATCTGTGGCGACGTACATGTTTTTGGTTTGCTTTAATAAGCTAATTATTTGGATTTCAGCATCATTGGATCAGTGTTGATTATATGCGGATTGTACGTGGTTCTATGGGGTAAAAGCAAAGAGATGACAAAGAATCAATCTATTCCATCAGAAAGCACCCATAAATCTGACACTGTCGAAGTAGTCGTCAAAACTCAAGAAGATAAATGCAACAATAAGAACAATACGCTTGCAGATGCGGTTCAAGGTAATGAAGATTCATCGGAAAATGGACCTGAAAACCATGAAACCCACATACAGTACGAGGCGAGGGAAGAAGTAATATCTCGAAAAGCCTCACATACCTAAACAATCCATGTAACTTCTACAGAGATGCTATATAGTATATATTATTGAATCACCATTCTTTTCCAATCGTCCCAACATGCTATGGGCATTTTTCGTATGTTCTTGGGAAAGGAAAGCACGGTTAATTAACTTAATTTCTCTACGCTCTTTCCTTTTTGCTGTCCCTTTTTTTATTGGGTTCTTAAAACTAAACATTATAAACAAAGCTTTCAAACTAAAAATGGCCCCATTTTTCGTACATAAATCCTTATTAAAAAATAATAAAATTTCTCTTATAAATTAAACAAATTAACTTTAAAATGGCTAGATTTGATTATTTATTTGATATAATTCTAACATATTTTACTTTTAAAGCAATAATATTTCAGTATTTATTATTATAACAAAACTTAAAGCGAACAAACATGTTAACTTTGTCAGCTAAAATTTTAATATAAGTATGATCCAATAGTGAGGAAGATAATTTGGACTACAAGTACGAGGTGTCTCTTTATCTAAGATGTCTTAGGCAAATTTAGAGTAAAATTCTCCTACTTATACAACTTTTTGATTTATTTCTACCCACCAATGTACATATCTCAGCAATAAGCAAAAATTACTAAAGAGAATACAAGAGGAACTTTAACTCTTTACATAAATTGACAACAAATATTACTCAAATAAAAGATGTAGTTACTCCACACAAAATTAGGAGAGTAACAATTCATCTTCACAACGCGGATTACAAATGTACTACAGTAAAAAAATTTTAAAAAAAAAACAAATTTTATAAGAATTAGAATATATTAATATTAGGTATCAAATTTGAATATTTACATTTCTTAATAAACTTTTATTGAATAGAAGATTGATTAATTCAACTGTTGATTTAAAGACTCTTATTAAATAAATAAATTTTATAAAATTTCATATAAAAAATATTTATTATTGTATTATATTCTTTTATTTTAACAAATATTATATTTTTAAAATATAAATAAATATCAATTATTGGATAAATATACTTATACGTGTCAATTGTTGGTTTAATCAATCTTACATGTAATGTAAGATACAATTTGAGGGAAGCTGTAATATCTCGAAAAGCCTCATATACCTAAACAATTCATGTAACTTCTAAAGAGGTGTTATATAGTATATATTATTGAATCCATATAGGCATAGCTTGTCATTTTTTTCCAATTGCCCCAACATGCTATGGGCATTTTTCGTAGTGTTCTTGGAAAAGGAAATGCACAATTAATTAACTTAAATTTTCTCTCGTTCTTTTGGCCGAATTTGACGTTTTATTTAGTGGATTTTTTATTTAAAATTGTAATTCAAAAATAATTTTATATTTATTGTTTTTTCCAAACCATTCCCCTGTCTGTGATAAATCTGGCCACATGACAAACGTTTCGCCAATATTACTAGCAAAACTTACTAATTTTTATTTTTTAAAATATGTTTTGCCACAAAGATTGTGAAACAACATAGATTCTGCTGCACGTTAGACATACAAAATTTCGCCATACAATTAGCAAAACTTGCTATACAATTAGCAAAACTTGGTGAACAATTTCACCATTAAAAGAGTAAAATATACAGAATGATGACAAGTGGCACATTTTGATAATGTCAATATTTATTTTAAAAAATAAGTTTTATCGTAAAAATGGCGAAACTATTAATTTAAAAAATATCGCGTGCTTTCTGCTATTAATGTTAGTCCTGTCAACTGTAAACTAGTTTTTGATAAAGATATAAATTGGATAATTTTAGGTGATGACTTAAAGACTTTTCATGTTAAGTATTTGGATTTCTTGGTTAAATTTCTTCTAAACATAGAACTTTTATAATTATTTGTATATTTGAGAAGATAAATGCAAATTTAAGTGTCTTTATTCTTTTTTGATATATTTTGCAGTTGGAATCAGAAGAGAAATATCATCAAAAGTTGATGAAATTTGAAGGATTAAGAAAGAAGCACAAAAAGCATAAAATTTGAAGAAAAAACGAGCTTCTAATGGTCTCCTACTACAGTGAGACACTCTTGCTACAGCAAAAATTCATATTTTTAAAAGAGTGATTGTGCTTTTCTCACTACAACGAGACATTTGTCATGTTAGCGAGAGTGTCTTCTCTCGCTGTAGCGAAACATACGTCGTTGCAGTGAGAGGCAAGCAGAATCACCTCATTTTTGTTTCAGTTCTCGCTACAGCGACAAGAGAAGCATTGTCCAGAATGGTATAAAAGGCGACTTTTGTGTTTCAAAAGGATTTATTGTTCCATTTCAAGAAATAAAGAGAGACAAAGGGCAGTGCTTTTAGGAATAGAGTGGGAACACTCATTTTCAAAAGGAGTTATTGTATCTCTTTTCTTGATACTATCATTACTATAGTTGTAATGAGCAATTAAAATTATTATGGAATTGAATATAAATCTTTAAACTTGATGTATTCTCAGTAATTTATATAAATATAGTCGTCTCTGCTTTATTTATATTGATTTGGTGATTTCAATCCATATTTAATGCTTGAATCTGTTTAGCTGATAGCTTATTGAACCCAAATCTAAGTTATATCTAGGAAGTTATTGCTCAAATCCATATATGATTGAGATTACTCAATAACTGGTCATTCTTGGAATAAATTTTGACTTATTGATTGTTTTTAAATCTCAATTGTAATACTGGATAGTTTGTTAATTGCTTAAGGAATTAACATTTAAGAAATTATCTTAGAAGTATATTTTTCAGGAATTGAGATATATGATTTTTGTATTTTGCATCAATATCAATGAAAATGATTGTTATGTTTATCATTGAATTACTGGCAAAGAGGGTGATAGATGAAATTCAATCTCAGTTTTTCTAATTTGATTTTTATTACATTTTACATCATTGTCTTACATTATAATTCTTACTCAATTTCTATGAAAACTATCAATCAATGTTATTGTATATAAGTTCAATCAATTTATATCTTAACAATTAATACACTTTGAATTAATTTATGAGGATAATATCTTATTACTCTACCGATTATTACTTGCAATAGACTTGATACACTTGTCGTGTTTTAAGAAAACATCCCAACAAATTTAATATTTTATAATTACTTAAAAAAGAATGTCAAAAATAGTGCAATGTGTGTGACCATGCCTTTGTATAATTGTAGTTCACTTAGAGCCGCATGATTCATAAGAAAATTATAATCAAATGCTTTGATAATCGGTCACACACGCCACTTAGATGCTTCAAAAGTTTCCAAATATATAGATAATCGTTGTTATTCATTGTATTTGATAATAAAATATGCAAGTGGAAAATAAATATTTTGTTTAACTCTAACTCATTTTACAACTAATTTTATTGTTTTGCAAAGTATATTAGCTCAAAAAGATGTACTTAGAACCATGGTAATACCAAAGAGAATCGATAATCTCAGCTTTTGACAAAGAAGACAAAGCGAAAGTTTTGTGAAACAAGTCTTAGATTCAAGGTTTAGGATAAAATGTGTTTATATTGTCAAACTTATCGAGTCTCTTGTTTATGTGTTATGTATTGTTGATAATGAAAATAAACTTGACATGAGTTTTATACCAAGCTATGTATAAAATTAGAAGAAAGAGTGAAAGGGATTATAAAAAATAAGGACAAAGTAGAGTCTTACTTATCTATCTCAAATAATTGTTGAGATTCTTAACTTCAATAACACTTGGCATTTTAGATGTCATTGAAATATATGCTTACGGAGATATGGATTTATAGTCTAAATTGACAAGTGAGATGAGAATATTTAAAAATATTAAATAAGATTTTGGAAGATAAATTATTGTGCGTGAACAAAATAATGTCATACTAAGTAAATTTATTGGTTTATAATTTTTATTATTTGTGATTCTTATTTTCTTATATTTTTTTAAGTAATATCTAATTCATTTCTTGTAATGTAATATGTTATTTAGATCAATGGTGGAAATTTTTTGATATGGTGTGCCAAATTTACAAAAGTTAGTTATTTGTATTTTAAACTAAATTTATAGTGCTTTATGTTGTAAAATAAATTGGAGTGTGTTTGAACATATTAATTCCGAAAGAAAAAATAGAGTAGAGCATCAAAAGATTAATGATCTTATCATTGTTTGTTAGGATTTGATGTTACAACAAAGGTAATTACTAATTACATGTTTTTTTTATCATTTCATTGAATATTTATTCTAATATAAAATATTAACTTGAATTTTAATTAACCTTAAGAATCAATTAAGGCATCAAAATTATGACCCAATTAATTATGAAACATGAAATGGTCATTCTTATTGGGTATTAAAAGAGTCAACCTTGTACTTTAATGTTGAAAAAATAGAAGCTTTACATAATAACCTTACAAATATGTCCATCCAACCTCCTTCAAATGATATAGGTATGATGTTAATAAGTTTATATATTTATAACATAAATATTATAATTTTATTTTTTAATTTTATTTTTATCTTATTTATCCCTTTATCTTAATTATTAAAATTTATATTTAAATTTATATCATAGATAAATTGAATTTGAATAATGATAACGAGAAAGATTGATAAGACTTAGACTTTATTGTCATGAAAAACATGAACTTGAATATTTTAAAAAATACAAACTATACCAGTTTTTAAAATAGGAGCTATTAATCACTCAGTCATCTCTCTAAAATTTAATTTCTATTTTATCTTTATTTCGTTAAATAAAATATGACGTGTGAATTTTTTTTGAATTTGTTTATGATACAGTGTTGTAACAAATTCTTAATTGTTACTAGTTTAATTAGGTAATTGGGTGATACTAATTACTATAATATTGTAATTTAAATTATTTAAATTATGTTAATTTGTAGTTTTAAAATTAATTAGTCTGTGTGGATTAAGTGATCTGAAAGCATTGACTCTTATTTAGGTATTCTTATTTTTATTAAAATTTATAAGAAAGATATGTACTCAAACTCAATAGATAAAGTTAAAAAGAAAATGTCAAATTGAAAAGTTAATTTTTAATTCAAATTGTCAAAACACAGAAAAAACATATTTTAATCCAACATACATTTATAATCTTACATCACATCACTATATGTTTATGAGTACAAACACAACAAGTTTTCAATAATA